AAGAATGGGGTACCCCTTCTTATTTGAACTGCATGCTACAGATGGAATAAAAGTTTGAATGAGTTCATGGAATATTATAATTAGATTGTCATTGTATATAAGGATTTCCAATCATAAATAGGTTAATACAATATAAATTATAAAATATTTGTTATAGTAGAACGAAAGTTTCATTAAGATGTTTAATAAACTCGTCCAGACTTTCATTCCATCTTCAACAAATAGATGTCGTTGGAAGGAAAAACTTATTTTTAGACGAGAAGTTATCAAACAAAAGTTGAAATTTTAGAATTAACCGAACATTGGAATTATAATTTAAAATATATATATATATATATATATATATTATTTATGGAATATTTTTTTCGACTTTCATTTCTTGGTGGGAATTTTTTGTTGATCATGGCAGCAGGGTCTATCCTTAAACCACTAGTACCTCACTAAGCTATCGGCCGCTGACCTTCTCGTATACGCATCGCAACTTTATGGGGGTCGGCCGAGGGAAGGCCCAGTCGTAGCGCGGTCCTGAATTGAAAGCTTTTCTTGCTACCACCTCCAGAGGTGGTAGCAAAATACCCTTCCCCGCGGCCCGCCAGGCCGCTTACATTTGGTACCCCGTTTGCTGCTTTTGCCACTTCCCCTTTCTTGTGCAACTGGCTCAACCATCAAATTTTAGCTACTTTGCAATTAAAGGCCCTAGTGTGAGTAGGCCCTCATACTACCACTTCCAAGAATGTATACAACTACACTTCAGAACCAAAGCTTTGTTTCTTCATTCCTCCCCCCGTCTTTGTGAGTTCTCCGCCGCAACTTTTGTTCTTCTTTTTTCTTTTTTGGAATAATTTGCAAAATAACCCGAGTAGTTGAGATACATGCCAAAATGCCTCTGAAAGATGTGAGTAGAGCAACTTTTCTTCTTCTTTTTTCTTTTTTGGAATAATTTGCAAAATAACCCGAGTAGTTGAGATACATGCCAAAATGCCCCTGAAAGATGTGAGTAGAGCGGAATGTCGTTTTTGACCGAAATTTGTGTGTTGTGCCCCTGTCAGCAGGGTGTGCAATTTTGCAATCTGGACCTCCCCGTTTGGGCCTTGGCCTTTTGCAATAGCACCTTGGAAAAGTTGGCAAGTACTGGGGCATTTTTGCAAAGTTGGGAGGTACCCGGTAGGGGTGTATTGCAAAGATGGGGGTCCAACCGACGCCAGGGGCATTCCACAAAATAATTTTTTGTCAGAGCGGCATTCCGCTCTACCCACATCTTTTAGGGGCATTTTGGCATATATCTCAACTTCTGGGGGTAGTTTGCAAATTATCCTTTTTTTTTTTGTTCTTTCCTTGAGAGTATGAGAAAAGAAAATGTGGTGGGATCGACAAAACTGGGAGCGCAATGAAATTCAGGCTCGGAGGTACTACTGTAGTGGTTTAAAACAAAGCTCTGCTCTATTCGTGGGGAGCAGCCCAGCGTCTCTCATAAAATTATATGAGGTGTCCCTTTCCCTTTTCTTATACATTTTTTCAACAGAAAAAGGGGTGATGACCTTTTGGAATAAATTATTTTCTGTGCAGAAAAAAAAATTCACAGCTCGTGGAATGCTCAGTCCTTGCGTTAGGCCTGGACTCCACTGCCCGGCGGCTAGAAACTGATGTTGGCCACAAAAAACGACCCAACGTGGTTGGAAAGATGTTGCCGCATTTTGTTGGGACCCCACCGCCACCCTTGACTTTCGACACTGGAAACGGGTGGACATGCCCGAATAGGGATTCCCCCCAGGGTGTTTCCCGAAAAGGCAAGTCGGGCCGGGATTGTGGTTCATGGCCTTCTATCGGCCTGCACCAGGACATGTCCGTGTGTGGCCGTGCACGACCCGGTGTGGCGGGTGCCGCACAAGTACCGTGCAACACACAACGCCCTCACAGGGTCCACTCGGGCGGCAGGACCCGTCCGTGTACGGAAAATTACCGTTGGGAGCATCGGCGGTTGTCACCCCATCAACTGTTTGGTTACAAAGCAGAGGAATGAATATCGCACTACTCTGTAAACGCTGCAAGTGGCCATTTGAGTCAATAGTGCACCTTTGCCTATCTTGCCCTCTGTCAAGGCGAATTTGGGCTTGGTGGCAGTCTCATTGGACCAGATTAAGCGGAGACAATCTGACATGGGATGACAATTGGATTCTTTTTGGGGTTCATCTGGCGGAGAATCCATAGGAAAAAGGTTGGTATTATGTAGCACAGGTATGCAGAGCGGTCATCTTTGAAGTCATTTGGGAAGAGAGAAACAGTATTGCGTTCAAGAACAAATTCACCTCCGATCAAGTGTTGAAAAGCAGGATTAAAAGATTGGTTAGTTTGGAGGTACAAAGTGACTGGCGCAGGAAGGTGACTAAGTCACCCAACAGACTGAGAGGTATGGTCTGGTTCCGTGACAACTGGGCCAGAAGTGAGGAATTAGCGGTAGTTAAAGATGGGAGGTTGGCTTTGCGGGAATGACTCAACAGCCTTTAGGTAGGACCTGGGTGCTCGGTCCGGATCTTCACAGTAGAAGGGCAGTGGTGGATTTTGCGGGAGAGGTAGGAGCATCAGACAACGAAGGACCCAATTTAGGGTCCGCTAACAGAAAGGGCCGACGGTAGGCTGGTGTAAGACGTGCACACTCGGTCTAGGTATCCGCAGGAGGATGACAGTAGTTGAAAGGTTGGTCTTTTGGAAGGAGTGTGATAGTTAGGAGGAGGTGGGTTAGACTCCAGGGCCTGTTCTTAGGGCCTGTCCTTTTAGGCAGGTTAGTAGAGATAGAAACCTGGTAGCCGCTTGGAAGTACAGGCCCACTGGTCGGAACTAGGCCAGTACAGTTAAGAGGCGTCAGTACTATATTTAGTTTAGACAGTTAGTGTAGGAGCAGAATAGACATAGATGTAGAGGTAGACGTAGAAGTAGTTCTCTAGTAGGTTTTAGTGGTAGTTTTAGGAACGGTAGCAGTAAACTTAGCGTTTGCAGCCTCAAAGCTGCTGGGTTGGAAGAGACCCGCAGGCATAGCCTGTAAGCGAAGCTGGATGATGCTTCCAACAGTTTGCATCCGGGAGTAATTTTGAGATCACCGGCCTCTGATGAAATTTGAAAATTCGCAGCCCTTAGGCTGCGGTATAGTGGGCTTCCTCGTCTGTGTCAAGGTGTCGCATTTTTGGCGGCGGGCGACCAGGACGGAAAGTGGGTTCTTAGCGGGCAAAAAAATTTAGGGGACCGGTCCTTGCCAAAATTGCAGACTACCTACAGCTAGCTCTGGTAGAACCGGGACTTTTGAAAAAACAAAGGACCGATCCTCGGGTGGAAGTGGACCCCAAAAAGAAGTGGGGGGCATTGGACCGGTCCTCGGGTAGAAGCGGACCGCAAAAAGAAGTGAGGGCATGTGAACTGCAAAAGGGCCCTCAGGCCCATGCGTTGAGCCCCGTCTTCTAAAAACAGGGAGGTCAGGCACAACGAAATAGGCATTTTGCAAGAGGCAACTTTGACGATTTTCTGTGCTCGGACGAACATGCACAAAAATCTGAAATTTTGAGAATCCATAGATGAGGTCGTGTTCTTTCCAGAAATAATAATAGAACATTTACAAAAAATAATTTACACTACGAAATAATTGTCGGACCGATTCGGCACATTTTCCATTTTTGCCACCCAGATATGCCTGGGCCAACTAAAAAAGTACTCCAAATTCAGTGAGTTTTCACGCTCAGAAGAATGAGTGAAAAAACCTGAAAATTGAACTACTCGTTGATTTTGTTGTGATCTTTCCAGGAAAAATGGTAAACAAATTAAAAAAAAATATTCCAACTGCAAAATAGATCGCGGCCGCAATTTGACCCATATTTCAATTTTGCCATTCAGTCTTTCTCTCTCTCTCTCTCTCTCTAGTCCCCGCCCCCCTCCTCTCTCTCTCCCTCTCGGGTAGGCCCCCCCCTCCCTCTCTCTCTATTTCTTTCTCTCTCCCGCACTCATAACAATAAATGGAACAAAACTCTCTCTCTCTCTCTCTCTCTCTCTCTCTCTCTCTCTCTCTCTCTCTTTCTCTCGCTCTCTCTCTCTCTCTCTCTCTCGCTCTCGTGTTAGCTCTTAGTCTCATTGATTTGGCTACCTTAGGGCTGCGTTCCCCGCACCCACAAGGTAGACAATGGACTTGATTTTGAGTAAAAAAAAAAAAAAAAAAGGGAAAAAGTTGTTGATGCCCCCTGCGGCAAAACCTTTGTCAAATTTCCACCCCAAAATGGACGCGCCGTGCGGGAGGTCCCCAAAAAAAACTTTTTGTCCTTCTTGCACCCCGGCTGGGCCGGTAGATCACTTTCCCGCCTTTTTTGCACAGCGGGCCCTGCTGATGTTACCGGCCCAGCCAGGCTGCAGAAACGATGCGAGGCCCCCTCAAAATACTTTCTGAGTCCTTTTTGCAGCCTGGCTGGGCCGGTAACGCCAGCAGGGCCCGCTGTGCAAAAAGGCGGGAAAGTGATCTACCGGCCCAGCCGGGGTGCAAGAAGGACGAAAAGTTTTTTTGGGGGACCTCCCGCACGGCGCGTCCATTAAGGGGTGGAAATTTGACAAAGGTTTTGCAGCGGGGGGCATTAACAACTTTTCCCAAAACAAACACTACAGCGCCCGAACTTTTCCAGGCCGCCGGGCAGTGGGGTCCAGGCCTTAGCCGGCCCCCACCGCCGGCGGCCCTACCGTACCTCCTGACCACACCGGCCGGCCCCAGGTAATACCGAAATTCGTTCAACTACCCTCTTCCCCCTACCTATCACAGCGCACCTTCGTCATGACTGTGTGGAACTGGAAACATACCTTTGTATGCGTTTGTTCTCAGGGTGTGTTATGCTCGGAGAGACCGTAGGTTGAGCTTACGCCTGCATTTCGACGGTTCATGGGTGTACCAACTGCTACGTTAGGCCTATTGGTCACACCTTAGACATGGCCTACGGGTAGCTCTACTCTACCGTGTAAGTGGGACATGGCCCCGGCCGAATGCCACCTTGTCTTTGTCTTTTGTACTTGTGGCGCGGCCCCAGACAGTGTCTGCCTCGTGTTGCCGTCGCACAGGTGTGGAGCCTAACCTCGCCGCGCCACACGTGTACGACAGGCAGGTACATCATCCTCCCGTGCCAACGGCTACGGCTAACGGTAGCACAACCGATGCGAGAGCAGTGAGCGTTGCGGGATAGCGACTGTGGCCAGTAGCAAGGGGCCTCTCGGCGGAGGGGTGGGCATCTTGTCTCTCCTTCCTGCTTCTCTCTCGTTCCTCAATTCCCTTCTTTCCTTGACCACATCGTGTCTTCCCTGCCTCCTCTCCCCTCTCCTCTCCCCCACCCTTCTTCCCCTCCCCGTTCCCCTCCCCTCTCCCCCTTCCCTCTCCCCCTCCCCCCCCTCCTCTCCCCCTCCCCTTCTCCCCCTCCGCTCCCCCCCACCCTTCTCCCCCTCCCCTTCTCCCCCTCGCCTCTCCCCCACCCTTCTTCCCCTCCCCGTTCCCCCTCCCCTTCGGCGTCTCCCTTTCTTCCCTCTCCCTTCTCCATCTGTACAGTCTCGTCTGCTCTCTCCTCGGGCGGTCTTCAGTCTGTTTTTTTTTTTTTTTTTCGTGGTTGACGTTTCCGTGTCAGCAATGCATTATTTATGATCTCAAAACAAATGTACCTGCTAACAACAACCCAATCAGGGAAAAAAAAAAAAAAAAAAAAAAAAAAACAATCAGAGTAAAGCAGGCTGAAGAAGACTGATCGGCCTTTTGGCTAAGATCAAGTGTAGTATCTGTTCTGATCAGTTCAAAAAAAAAAAAAAGAAACGAAAAAAAGTGTAGCGCCGTAAGGCTTCGCAACGTCGTCTAGCGGCGCTGGTCTGACAGACGGTAATTAGGGCCTCGGCACACCACTGTGGAAACGAGAAAAGTACGAGCGCATCTTCCCCGGAAAGTGACCAGATGCATCTGTTACTATCCATAGTAATGGATGGATGCATCGGGCCGTTAATTGCGGGAACATGCAGTCGTACTTTTTTCGTTTCGACAGTGGTGTGGCGAGGCCCTTAGAATGATGGATAGTAAGTGGAGAGGGTGAGAGAGGGAGGGGGAAGAGGACAATGACACCGATGAGAAAAGATGTGGACCGTCCGGACACGTGGCGTCGGCAGTAGATAGGTCGCTCGGAAATTTGGCGGGAAGGAACGTCGATGAATGCAATTGTCAGTAATAATGCACCACTTGCGCGCGTTTGACCTGCAATCACTCAGTTGGCGGAAAGAGTAAGGGGCGTCGTGCCACGTGTAATGCACCACTTGCGCGCGTTTGACCTGAAATCACTCAGTTGGCGGGAAAGAGTAAGGGGCGCCGTGCCACGTGTAAGACGGCGGGAGTGGGGGCTCGGAAGGGAAAGAAAAAAAGGACACGGAAGCAAAGGAGGGGGTGCCGGTTTTTCATGTGACGTGGGAGGGAGGTCGGGATCGGGGTAGGTAGTGAGATGGGGGAGAAACAGGAAGCCGAGGATGAAGTGCTAGGTGCGAGGAGGGTCTTCGCCATGTCACGCGGCAGGCATGTCCGGATCGGGATAGGGAAAGAGAGACGGAAAGAAGAAGAAGGAGAAGAAGAGTAGTGAAAAACAGTGGCCATAGACTGCTTCTTGCACACGCATCGACAAGATATTTCAATACTTCTCCGCATGTACAGTTCTCAGTTGAAACGCGCAATTTCCCCGACGCGTTTCGGCCAGGCTGCGCACCTGGCACTCCTCAGGGGGCTTGGCTTCTCCCCAGATCCGCCTTACGGCACCACCCAACGAAGAAAGAAGAAGAAGAAGAAGAAGAAGAAAGAAAGAAGAAGAAGAAGAAAGAAAGAAGAAGAAGAAGAGGAAGATGACTAATGAAGAGGCAGGGGAGGGTGCTTCGCCGTGCCACGTGGCAGGTACGTCGGGATGGGTGTTGGAGAGGGGGCGAAGAAGATCACGAAAAAGGGGTTTGTGTCACGTGGACATGCACGTGGGGGATTGGAGGGGAAAGAAGCTTACAGAAATAATACTAATAAGGCGGTTTTGGGCCAGATTGCGCTCTGACACCGTTAGGTACGTTTTGTAATCACAAGAGGAGGAGGAGGAGGGAGGAGGGAGGAGGGAGGAAGATGATGGTGATGATGATGATGAGGAGGATGAGAAGGAAGCATCTAGAATTACCTAGGGCCGATCAGTTCAATGATGACATCTCAAGGCTGTCGCCCTTAAAAAAAAAAAAAAAAAAAAAAAAAAAGAAAAAGAAAAAAAGAAAAAGAAAGCAGCCAAGAAGGCCTGGCTGGATTGTGAAGAAAAGCCAATCGGATTCGATGAGAGATGAAAAAGGAAGAAGGAGAGCGGATGGAGGCAGACTTTGGGCCTCGCTCCGCTACTCTCACCAAATGTGCAAACTGAGAACGAATCTTCCGCTAGAACACGGAAAGATACACGATGATATTTTTTGTCTTTTGTCTTTTCCTGCATGTGGAGAGTAGCGAAGAAAGGAAAAGACAAAAGACAAAAACTCCGTTATTTTTTGTCTTTTGTCTTTGGCCCTTCTTTAGCTCTGAGGTATGTATGTAGGAGACAGAAGAAAGGAACGCCAAAGAACTACCCTCTTCACAGGGATAGAACATCCGCCGGTCATAATTCATTCTATCTAGAGATTTTATTATTATTTTTTTTTAAATTTTATATATATTTGTGTTGTCCCCCCTTCCCGTGTAGTGGGTATAGTTACGGCCAGCCTAAGGTCTGCCAAACCCGGGTTGCTGCCCCCATGCCCACTCACCTTTCTGTGGATGCAGAAAGGACGATGGCAGGTTTCCCGGCCTGAGCCATCGGGCCTAAAGTCCTGCTTTCCTGGGCACTTGCTGTACCGAGTAAAAATAAAAAATAAAAAATAAAAAACAAA